CAGGATATGAAATATTTAGTATCTGATCTTCTTTCCTTTTTCTTTTTTTTTCTTTCTTTCTTTCTTTCTTTTTTTTTTTCATCATTTGTTTCTTCACAAATTATAACGAAAGAAAAATAATGTAAAATCTTTTTCGTATCGATACGTTGCTTCATTAATTTTTATTAATATTATACGTCTCTGTTTACAAAAGCGGTTCAAGAAATGTGATCAGATTCTAACGGAAAAAAGAAAAGAAAAAAAAATGAAAAATTTATATAAAACTGATACACTTGATACAGTTGATCTAATAGTAATAGATACGATCGATCGTATATAAAAAATATTAATAGTACCGTTCGATAATCAATGATAATAATTCGTACTATTTAAATCGCGAAAGAAAGAAGTTCTTCTCGTTTTGGGTAGGGTTTAAGTTGAATGAACAGCTGGAATTATTTTCCTTTGTGAATAATGTGAACTATTTTAAGAAGTTTTCTAAACCTTTGAAAGAATTTTTTTCTCGATTTTTATCCAGCAGTAGTCTATCCGATCATTTTTCTAATTTATTATTACGTCAATTATATAAATTTGTGGTGATTTTTCTAAATAAAATAATTCAATAGTTTATATCTGTCGTTACGAACGATCCTCGATTATTTTTGTTTATAACTCGAATGAAGAATCTTTGATATATCCTATATTTTGTACATTATCGATACAATCGATATGCGGCATCTTCTACTACTTATCGAAAATATCGTGGGTGAATGTGTCGTGATCGTGTAACTTTCATAGCCAGGCTTTCATATAACTTTCACTTTTACAAAGTGGCTATACATATATGTACGTCACGTTAAAAGGATAAATGTTCAAAGTAGACACGGCTTCTCGAATGAGAATAAAATTATATAGTTATTTATTCGTTATATATATATATATATATAAATATATATAAATGTTAGTTTGCTTTTCTCCCTGGCTAATGGTACCCAGCAATCAAGATCAATGAAAAATGAACGAGGAAGGGGAGATGAAACTAGCTAGATCGACCCGGTGACCCCAACTCCCGTCCGGCAGCGGGCATCGTCATCGGTGATCTGATTTTCAATGCACCGCTGACTCTTTTTATATGCTCGAAGAATGGCTTATCTGTGTATAGGTTATGTATGTATATAGACTATTTGGAGTTGAAAAGATAGAAGAGAATTGGTTGAGGTATTATCGGTATTGACTTTTTCAACGTTCAACGATTAGGTCCAACTGATCTAAAGGTTCAACGAAGCGTTAGATAAAACTTTAGAAAGAGAGATAGAGAGAGAGAGAGAGAGAGAGAAAGAGAGAGAATGGGAGTGAGAAGGAGAGGGAAAGAGGGAAGATAGAGTTAGAGAGAGAAAGAGAAAGAGAAAGAGAGAGAGAAAGAGAGAGAGAGAGAGATTCGGCTCACGTGAGATTGGTTCGATCGAGCCCCACGATCCGTTGTTGAACGGAACGGGTTCCCGAAACGGGTCGCGTTCGCTCGGTTAACGATCGTGGCCTGACTGCTCCGAGAACGGAGTAGAATATTTCAGATAGCCAGCCAGCCGGTAGTAGTAGTCCATGTCGACTCTCTGCTCTTGCTGCTGCTGTTGTTGCGGCTGCAGCAGGGATGTCGTAGTAGAGGCAGATGGATTCTTGGTAGAGTAATGAGAACCGTGAGCTGGATATCCGATACTAGGTCGTCTAATCGAGGTTTTCCTGCGGCTCTTCTTTGCCTTGCATTTCTCCATCCCTTTCTCTCTTTCTCTTTCTCTCTTTCTATTCTCTTATTCTCTCTTGGTTTCATTACTAGATGCGCTTTTAACGTAACATATCTCAGGACGTGGAGGTCCTATCGGTTTGATTCTCTCGGTGAATCATTTAATGAATGTCTAGAAAGTGTACTATCTTATATATCTTTCCTGAATCGTTCGTAATATAAATCCATTGGATAAATTCATTTTATGATTCTAAATGGATATTACTTGGAGACCTGTCTGTCATTCAACGTCGAAATCATTTTCTACGTTCGTTGCAATCGAATTATTAAGAATATAAAAATATCATACTATGAAAGTAAATTGCTCCGAGGAGAATAGAGCAAAGGAGAATTGTGAATTATCTAGGAGCTCGGTGAAATTCGCGCGATTATGGATATATCGTGGCGTTAAATCATTTTCTATTTTTTCTTTTCTTTTTTTTTCCTATTTCTTTTTCTATTTTTCTATTTTACTTCTTCATCTTCTTCTTCAGTTATCTTTCTCTTTTTCTTCTTCGATGGAAAAAGAGAAAGGGATTGAAATCAATGACTTCTTTCAAATTAACCACGCGCATACTTTCTTTTTATATTTTTATTTTTTTTATTTTTATCTTCGTACATATACCCTTTTCTCTCTCTTGTTCTCTCTCACTCTCTCTCTCTCTCTCTCTCTCTCTCTCTCTCTCTCTCTCTCTCTCTCTCACTATGTATGTGCGTGTATAATATTATGTTCGATAACTCTTG